GGATTTGTAATTTAAATCAGAGGTCTCCACCTTCAACAAAAAGACATATATGGAGCCCTGGCCGGTTTGGCTCAGCGGTTAGAGCGTCGGCCTGCGGTCCTGAGAGACCCGGGTTCGGTTCCCGCTAAGGGCGCGTACCTCGGTTGCAGTTTGTCCCCGGCCCTGGTTGGTTGTGCGGGTAGCAACCACTCGATGTGTCCCTTCACGTCGATGTTTCTCTCTCTCCCTCCCACTCTACCTGAACAAAAAATGGAAAAATGTCCTCGGGTGAGGATTAAAAAAAAAAAAAAAGGCATATATGGAGAATAAAGACTCAAGCATTATCTGGAAATATATTTTATTTTACAGTGATATGGCCAGGCATTATTATGTATTTTACACTCATTATGTCAACGAATTCCCACGTTTTGTCCTAAGTACTACATTTTACAGATGAGGTCAAAACTGAAGTTTATAGAGATTAAGTAACTTGCCCAAGGTTCCAGTTAGTAAATATCCCAGCCAGGATTCAAACCAAGGATTGCCCTAGAATTATTTCCCGAGTCACTACCTCTTAAGTTATTAACTCTAACATGTGTAAAGTCTCTAGATGTTCCTAAATGGAGGCAGATTTGGATGATCTCAGGAGGAGGAGAGACACATGGGGCAGACACAGTGATTCTCATAGTTTTTGGTCTCAGGACCCCTTCACACTCTTCAAATTATCAAGGACACCAAAGTTGTTTGATTTATGTGAACTTTATCTTTTGATATCTGCCATATTAGAAATTAAAACAGAAAAATGTAAATACTTATCAGTAAGTTTTTAAAAAAAACATTACATGTTGACATAAATACCATTTACCATTTTCTACTAAAATTACTATTTTTCTGCTCCAGTGTGGCTCAGTAGGTTGAGCATGATCCCATGAACCTAGAACTTGCCTCCTTTAGATTTCCAGTGGGACCACATGCCAGGGCTGCTGGCTCAATCTTCAGTAGGGGTGTGCAGGAGACAGCCGATGGATGTTTCTGTCTCCCTCTCCCTTCCTTTCTCTATTTTTTTTTTAATCCTCACCTGAGGACATTTTCCCATTTTTTTGTTCAGACAGAGTGGGAGGAAGATAGAGAGAGAGAGAGAGAGAGAGAGAGAGAGAGAAACATCGATGTGAAAGGGACACATCGAGTAGTTGCCACCCGCACGACCAACCGGGGCCAGGGACAAACTGCAACTGAGGTGTGCACCCCTAGTGGGAACCAAACCCAGGTCTCTCTAGACTGCAGGCCGATGCTCTAACCGCTGAGCCAAACCGGCCAGGGCTTCCTTTCTCTATTAAAAAAAAAAAAATCAATAAAAACATTTTTTAATACTATTTTCCCCCAAATAGTGAGGAGAATAACACTGTTTAACCTTTTATGGATGCTCATAGCTGCTTCTGCATTCAGTCTGTTGCTCTGTTTGTTGTTTTGGTTAAATTATATAATGAAGATTTGGCCTCACACAGTTGGTAGGAAAAGGGAGAAGTATTTAAAAAAAAAACAAAAAACTTTACAGATAGCTATGTATACTGAAACAATAATAAAACTCAAAAATGACTTTTTTTTATTTTGTTTTGTTTTTTATCCTCATCCAAGGACATTTTTGCATTCATCTTCATTCAGGTAGAGCGGGAGGGAGACAGGGAGGAAGAGAGAGAAAGAAACATTAACGTGAGAGAGACACATCGAGTGGTTGCCACCCACATGGCCCCAGTTGGAGCCTGGGACAAACTGCAACAGAGGCACACGCCCTTAGTGGGAACCGAACCTGGGACTCTCCGGTCCACAGGCCAACACTCTAACCGCTGAGCCAAAATGGCCAGGGCAAAAAAAAAAAAAAAGGTAGTTTCTTAAAGGATAATTGCATCTAGGAATCTGAAACCCTATCAATGAACTTTTTGTATTTTGCTACATTAAAATTCACTGGTGTATCTTGCCTTTTGAAAGGCCTTTTACCCATGCTGATTTTGAAACATTACACCCATCTTCCAAACCTTGACACATTTCATTATATATATTTATATATATACACATAAACATATATACACCCGCACACACAGTGGGGGGCGTTTAGGAGGCAGCCAACCAATCAACCAATGTATCTCTCACATCGATGTCTCTCTCTCCCCCTTCCTCTCTAAAAAAAATTAAAAACAACTACAACAACAAAAACATAAAAATCAGTCATTGGCCTCACCCCTGTGCCTCAGCAGATTGAGTGTGGTTCCATGCATCAAAAGGTCACCAGTTCAATTCCCAGTCAGAGCACATGCCCATGTGCAGGCTCAATCCCCAATAGAAGCCTTGCAGAAGGTAGCCCATCAATGGTTCTTTCTCATTGATGTTTCTCTCTCCCCCCCTCCCTTCCTCTAAAATCAATAAAAAACATTTTTTTTAATCAGTCATCAACATTGATGTTATAAGAAAGATTTGTTAAATATTAAGAAACTGTCAAACTTGAGATTTCAACTTTTTAAGAATACTAATTTCACCCTGGCCAGTTTGGCTCAGCGGTTAGAGCGTTGGCCCTCAGACTGGAGAGTCCCAGGTTTGGTTCCCACTAAGGGCTCGTACCTCAGTTGCAGTTTGTCCCCAGATGGGGTTGTGTGAGTGGCAACCACTAGATGTGTCTCTCTTACATAGATGCTTCTCTCTCTCTCCCTCCCGTTCTATCTGAAGATAAATGCAAAAATGTCCTTGGGCGAGGATAAAAAAAAAGGATTCTAATTTCACTCTCAAATTTTTATCATTGGTAACAAATGATGCCAGTTGTTTTCCTAGAAGTGACAAGCTCACTTCATTCAGGAAAACATCCACCAAACACTCAAGAGTAAAAATCTAGTCTGTCAGTCATTCAAGTAAAAATGTTACTCCATGAAACAAACAAATGCTGTTCCACAACTCAATCTCACAAGTACTTCTTATAACATAGATCATACCTTGTTAGGCAGCATAAGTACTTTATGTATACTTCCCATTTGGTCAAAAACACTTAAAAAATTTAAAAGATATATATTCAAGGGCTGAGATTTAATCAAATTAATCATTTTTATTGCCTCATCAAAATATTCTCAAGTAAGTACAGTAGAGTTTCGTACAACTTCTTTGCTTTGTGCTAAGACACCACTAGTAGTTTTACCATCCTTGCTTTTGGAGCATGAGTGTAAATGTCAGTTAAGAAGATAAATGGTATCTTAGTGTTGTTTTGGAAAGAGTTCTCACCTCCTGGCTCTCCTAAAGGGTCTGAGGACATCCCAGGTGTCAGTGGATCACATTTTGAGAACTGCTTTCCTAGATTATACCACTGGGGGTGGAAACACTAACAAAAACCCTGTTCACCCCAAGAGTCTTAATTCCATTAGTTCAATTAGTTTGAGATACACTACCAATATGGGAAAGGAGCAGGAAACCAAGGACATAGATTGCCATTTTAATTGTTTCAAGATTCTATTTTGAGCACCTTCATGCTGGACTAACAATTCTCAATCTAGAAGTTCCCTTAATCAGTCTCAACCAAAGAACAACAAGTTAAAAATGAAGAGATAACACCTCCCTTGCCATCCCTCCCAAACAGAATTGGGGATGAGTCCCCACTAAATTGCTTTAACAATCTCCAAGGTACTTTTTAGGCACCCGAAAGTTAAGCATGATTGTGCTAAATGGATGGAACTTAAGAGTACAATTCCCCAATGCCAAGAGCAACAGCAGTCTCAAAATTCAATGTCCTTCACAAAGCAGCAGCCCTCCCTGCTCCTTTCTTATTCAGTGAATTCCTTTAGTGTAGTTTGAGATACATCCCCAACATAGCTGATACGTGGGGTTTGAGCTTCGGTGGAAGGTATCAAATGAGTGTGTGAACTGGGCTACAGTCTGCAACAAGAAGGCTGTTCTGAGACAGTACATTACCTCAATTTCCATCTCAAAAATGAGATTGTGCTCAATGATTTACAAGGCTCTTTTCAACTCCACCTTTTTGATCTAAGAATGTCCAGGACCAGTGAGCAGAGAAACGTCCAGTTAGTATGAGGGAATCCCGCCATCTAACAGGAGAAATCAGAACTCGCAGAAAGGAGGGAAAGCAGGTGGATTTACATCACTCCTTTTCAGAGTTAGGTGCTAAGAATTCAGAGAAAATAGTCCCTAGGATAAACATGGCGCCCACCGCGGCAGAATATAATCACTAGAAAATATTTTTCCGCCCCATCCCACTTTATAAGTCATGGCGCCACCCCCCAACCCTCCCCCCAACACACTCATAAATTCAGGGCTAAGGGAGGAGACTTGATAAACTAACTGCAGTGCTCCAAGGCATGGGATGTACTAATGGACCAAGTGGGGATTACATAATACAAGGGAGAGGCTAAGCCATCACTCATTTTCCTCCTCGCACTCTAAAAGAGCACCCCAATCTTTCCTCGACCACTCCCCCACCCTGGGGGACGTCACCCTCCCGCCCGCCTCCCCAGCGCAGCCTCGCCCCCTGGCCTCCACGCCCGCCCCTCCCCGCCGTCTCGCCGCCGCCCGCGCCCCCACTCCTTCCCCAGTGGGCCGCCGGCGCCCGCGCCCGCGCCCGCCCACTCCTCCGAGACGCCTCGCGCCGGGGCGTGCGTGTGGACGTCGGGTGTGTGCGGGGCCGTGGGGCGCGAGTGCGCGCGCGCGCGCCGCGGCGGCCGCTGGGGGGCGGGGGCGCCGGCAGGCAGCAGGCAGGGGCCGCCCGGCCCGGCCCGCCGCGCGACTCCCGCGGCTCGCACGCACTCACACTCGCGCTCGCGCACCGCGCCGCACCCCACGCCAGCCGCCGCCGCGGGCCGCGACGCCACTCACGGGGGGCGAGGGCGCGCGCCACCGGGCCCCCGCCTCCACCCCTCGCGTACCCGCCCCATCCCCCTCTCATTGTCTCGCCTCCGAACGCCTCGCCGAGCGAAAAGATAACGGAACCCCCGGGAGAAGGGGGTGGGGAGAGAGAAGGCTCGCTCACTCACCTCCCGTGGTCGTCGCCGCCGGTAGTCTGACCCGAGGAAGGCGCCGTCGCCTTAAAGGGACCTGCACTCGGCGCCGGGAGAAGGGGGTGGGAGCAGGGGAGGGGACGGGGGCTTGGGGGGAGACGGAGAAGAGGGAACCGTTGATAGCTCGTCTCCCTGAGGGTGCAAGGAAACCTCCCTCGGGTTCGAGTGATTTGGGGTGGATTTTTTTTCCCGAGGGGGGCGGGGGGGCCCCCGAGGGAGGGGGGGTGGGAGGGCCAAGGAATGCGGCTCCGTGTACAGGAGCTGGCGCGGGGGAGAGAGACGCCGACTCCCCCCACCGACCCTCTCGCCCCGCGGAGGGATACGGCTCGTCACTTCCGCCCTCCCCTTTTCGTGGCCTTTCCATTGGCTGGGGTGTGTGTCACGTCATGGGCGCAGCCTAACCTCTGCCCGGGCTTCTTTTCTAGTCAAGTTTGTCTGGGCCTGCAAATAAATAAATAAATAAAAACATTTTAAAAAATGAAATAAAGAATAATTAGTTTTAGAAGAAATAGATAAATTTTGGTGGGTGAGAAAAATGGGATGGCCAAAGAAAATACTCCCCAGTTCACTTGTCTAGACTTTGGAGGGAAATTTTGGGTATATTCCCACTTTCTACTCAAGGCTTGTACCTACCTCATCAAGAGGGGACCCTGATGCCACAGGCCAGATGGTGAGGCCCAGTGGCACCAACAACTGTCATTGGAATGAAGGGAGCAAAATGGCACTCTTCCTCAAGAGCTGTTCAGCCAAGTAGCCTTATGGCAGCCTTTAGTAAAGAACTTTAAAAGCCATTTTACCCTGAACCCTTCTAGATTCTGAAAACCACATATGATTGCTTATCAGGGTGATTCATATATGAAAACTGCTTTGAAATCATTGTGAATAAACTCAGGAAAGATACTCAATTCTAAGAAACCATAGACTCGACAACTGTGCTTTTTGCTTCAATCATGGCTGAGATAGATTGGTTCAAAAAATTGATTAGTCCATTCAAGACTATCCTCCTGTTATTTTTCCCAAACAAAAACTAACCTCTTTTCCAGGAAGCTAAGAAATATCGTCCTTTATTACCTCCAAGATGTTAAAATGTTAATATTTTTCTTAGATATTTGAAGATGTTGTTGCTCTTTGAGCAATACACAAATATTAGCTCCAGGACCAGGGGAACTTCTGATACCTGGTGAGGGTTGCCTCAGGAGGCCGTTTTTGAGCTATGTGGAAGAGCAAAGGACAGTACATGAGAAGACTGGGAAGAAGATATGTACTCTGCCCAAAACACCTTTTCCCTTGGCTTCCATGGCCCTAGTTGCTGATCCCTCAACAAGGGTGGACTCTCCCAGCCATGGCCTGATGACCAGCTTCCTCTGTAGCCCATCTCCAGCCCAGTTGTCTCTAACCCCCAAGTTATAACCCTCCCAGCTTGGTACTTAAAAGATGAGTGTGACCACACAATGTGATCCAGAGGAGATCGTATTGCTCTCAGACTCTGATTAGCTGTCTCCACACCGCCTCCTGATCCCAAAATGTTTGGGGATAGTATTTGGAGGACAGTGGGAAGCAGATGTCTGAGGAAGGGATGGACTAAGCTAATCCACTTTTGGTGGTGTTTCTTAAAAACACACAACAACAACAACTTAAGTTTTACACAAAACAATAAAGTTATTTAAAATATATGTATTTGCTCCATTCCAGATGCTAAATCAAGTACTTGGTGAAAGATTGGGGAGATCCAGAATCATAGTTATTCCTTCTCTTTATATATACACTCCATTCAAACCACCAGACTATGAAAATAGGCAGTAGATGAATGCATGCCAAACTGTGTACTCATATACATGGGTGCCCACACCACCATTCATTTTCATTCGACTTCATCCCATTCCATACCAAAAACATGATTTCAAGTAGTCATTCTTAGAACTTCATTATTTGAATTGAGAGAATCACTAATTCTTTTGAAAATACTTCTGAAGTCTTTCCAGACCTGAATTGGAAAAGCCTATGGTGAGATTATAGAATCAATCAGAAAAAGGCAAATTCTACATGAAGCTCAAATCCTATTTTATGCTTTCCTGCAATAAATATTGTAATGTATTATAATATTATTTGCCTCTGAAATAGTCTTGTTGAAACATATATTTTGCCATTCTGTGCCAACTTCTGCTCTGCCAATGAGGTCTAGACCAACAGGCTGTACCACATACTGTTGACCAATAACCATTAGCATACCATACTGAAAATGCATCTTGCATCCATTCATTCAGAAAACATTTATTGAATACTTGCTATATGCCAAGCGCTGTTCTAGATGCTAGGAATACAGTAACAAAGAAAACAAACCCTTAAACTTATGAAACATACACTAGTGGGGAGAGACATAGACAATATACACATAAACAAATTGTTCCAGTATCTATTGTTAAATAACAAATGGTTCCAAAACTTAGTAGCTTAGAACAAAAATTTTATTATCTCCCGTGGTTCTGGGAGATGATTAGGCTAAGCTAAACAGTTCTCACTTAGAGTCTCATGTGGTGGCTGGGGCTGAAGTCATCTCAAAAGCTTCCTCAAATGCCTGAAGATTGATGATGACTGTTGGCTTGGAGAGCAGCTGAGACTGTTGACCTCTCAATGTGGCCTGGGTTTCCTCATATCATAGTGGCTGAGTTCTAAGATTGCCTGCTCCAAGAGGACCAGGCAGAGGTTGTATGGCTCTTTGTAACCTAACCTCACAGGTCACATAGCATCACTTCCACCACAATTACAGGCCCATCTCCATTCATGTGGGTGGGGAACATCTCTCAAATGGAGTAGTAGAACATCACATTGTAAGAAAAGTACGTGGAATGGAAAATACGACCTGCCACACTTTATATAAAGAAATATATAATATGTGATGTGGTATTTGGTGCTATGGATGGAGAAAAGAGCAGGATAGGGAATTGGGAGTGTGGTTCAGAGGGGGTGGGGAAGTTGTTATTTTATGTGGAGTGGTTGGAGGATGCTGCATCATTAAGGTGACATTTGAGCAAAGACCAGAAGAAAGTGAAGCCAAGTTCAGGTTTTACTCTTAGTGTAAATGAAGTCATTGAAGGGTTTTGAGCAGAGGAGTTGCATGACCTGGCTAACACTTTTAAGAGAACGCTTTGACTGCTTGTAGAGAATAACTGGTAGGAGCAAGGGTAGATGCAGGAAGGTGAGTTAAGAGGCTATTGCAATAATCCAGGTGAGAGATGGTTGTGGCCTGGACCAGGGTGGGAGCTGGGGAGTTGAGTGAGTTCTGCAGTGTGTTGTTGATGTCATTTTGACCTATATTTCTGTAATTTAGTTTGTGCTCTGGGAGATAGTTTTGACCTATAATGGCTAGCAAATGTGTGTGAGTGATGGTGCTGTGCCTGCCCCCATATATAGGAAGAATATCAGGCTGAATGTTAAAATGGGAGTTTTATGGGGACTGGGGGCACCTTCAAGGAGGGAGTTCAGGAAACAAGGGTAAAGATCAACGGACAATCAGGGGATGAAGTAAACTGTTTGAAATTATAAAAGGTGTCCTAACTATGCCACTGTATGAAAGGATTGATCAACAGCTGAATGACTGGTAGCTGAAAGAAATCAAGGGTAGAGACATTCTATAACATCAGAGGATTTGGAGAAAATTCTACCACCTTGCAAAACTGGAGCAGTATCTCAAGAAGAACTATACAGCCCTAGCCAGTTTGGCTCAGCGGTTGGAGCGTTGGCCTGCGGACCAGAGTCCCGGGTTTGGTTCCCACTAGGGGCACGTACCAAAAAAAAAAAAAAAAAAAGGACTATACAGTTAGGGCTCCCATTTCAGAATCATATTCCCCATGCTAGAGAAGGAATGGCCATATTAATTTGGACATAATTTTGGAATATTTTGCTGTCTTCAGCTAAATACAAGTTTCTATAGTGAAGAAATAGAACTGATAGCTATGGTCTCTCTTCAGAGTCATCTTGATAATGATGGGAAACCAAAGTAGCAGAATAAATAACCTGGATGAAATCCTTAGAAATTCACATGTGCCTCTATAACATATTGCGGAGGGGTCTGAAAGTCAATCCAGTCTAGTATATTGAAGAAATTGGACCCAATACTGTTGCTAAAAATCTACTCCAATCTTCAGTAGCCAACTTAGAAAAACTGAATCCTCTCATGGGTTTCTTAGAAATAAGGTCAAAGGTTAATGGAAGTACCAAGTTGGACATTTCACAGTTGGGTAGCAGAAGAGTGTTTCTTACCTACATTTTGTGGAAATCCTTATTTGCTTCTTTGGCTTATGATTTCTGCCACAAGTTGAAAATTGAAACCACCTGTAGCGTGGAGAGTGTCAATACAGAGAAACAAATGATTTCAACATGTCTTCAAAAGCAGTGAGCCATGGGGGCCCCACTGCTGTCATTTTGCCTATCAATCACTGACTGCTCAGGTTTAGTGTGAAGCTGACAGGTAGGTGTTGGGGTGCAGAGTGGAGAGGACTGTGAAGTCAGTTCAGGCAGAAAGCAGCTTCATGGGAGACAATGCCAGGTTTCTTTAAAAACGAGCATCCTGCCCTGGCCAATATGGCTCAGCCCTTAGAGTGATGGCCTATGCACCAAAAGGGTCATGGGTTTGATTCCCAATCAAGGGCACATACCTGGGTTGCAGGTTCGATACCCAGCCCTGGTCCAGGCATGTGCGGGAGGTAACCAGCTGATATGCCTCTCTCACATTGATGTTTCTCTCTCTCTCCCCCCTTTCCTCCATCCCTTCCATTCTCTCTAAAAATCAATGGAAAAAATATCCTCCAGTGAGGATTAACAAACAAAAAAACAAAAACAAAAAATAAGCATCCTGTTCCCTACAACACACACTCAGGGTGGACAAACCCAGGAACTCAAAGGGAGCTACTCACTTGGAAAGACCTAGAAAAATAGTGGAGAAATCTTCACCATCTGAGCATCTCCCAGTTCAGGATTGAAAGCAGTTTGCACTGAGCCTGGAGGTCAAAAGAAGTCAATATGTACGGGTGGAAAGGAGGACAATAAAATGCCTCACTTGGCAGGGAAATTGTCGTAAAATAAAGGGCAAGTGAAGGCCCTGGCCGGTTTGGCTCAGCGGTTGGAGCATCGGCCTGCGGTCCCGAGAGACCCGGGTTCGGTTCCCGCTAAGGGCATGTACCTCGGTTGCAGTTTGTCCCCGGCCCTGGTTGGTCGTGCGGGTGGCAGCCACTCGATGTGTTCCTTCACGTCGATGTTTCTCTCTCTCTCTCTCTTCCTCT